TTTGGGGGGGAAAGGTTTTTGCTATAGGGCACATGCGCTCACCAGAAAGACAGAGAGAGACAGAGAGACAGAAAGAGAGAAATCACCCCCTGGGGGATGTCCACACCACAGTCCTTTTTCTTCTATTCCCTTCTTGAGATTTTGGGCATGCACACACACAGACTGGGTATGATTTTCAAGCTACCAGGACTCAAACCGTGGAGTTGGCCAGGTAGAACCACGCACCTGAACCACCTGCTGGCTTACGAGACTTTTTCTTACCTCAGGAGTCTAGTCCTTTTGGTACTTTTCTGTATTGCCAGTCCGTACACAGCAAGGTAAAATGTGCCTGACAAGCAGCTCTCTATTGTAATAGCCCGCACTTTTTGTGTGTTTCCAGCACCACAGGGCAGTGTTTGGCCAGTGATGGCCTGCACGTACCGCAGGGGTCCGTTAGTGAGGCAGCACCACGTAGCCCAGGTGCGCAGGAGGCTGTACCTTCTAGGTCAGTGTAAGCGCCCTCCGTGATGTTCGTGCGACGACAGCTTTGCTTAGTCATGCATTTCTCAGGATGTACCCCCACTGTTAAGTGACTGTATTTTGTTTTGGTAAAACTTAAAAATTGTTGGTAAAACATGTATAACATAAAACTTGTATTTCGTCCATCTCATAGAATGTAATTCAGTGAGCGTGCCTCTCACCAGGATGGTGAGTGTTAAGTCGTGGCAATAAGGGTAATGTCAGGCTTAGAGTCAGAGTGGTCATTCCGGCCCTGATAACGAATGGAGGGAGAGGATAAGCCCTTGCTGGGTCCTTTTAAGGAAAGTTTGTGGTTCAAGTGGGGGCTCTTCTGTGTGGCCAAAAGCTTAGACCAATCACCCACTCAGCCCTCAACCGAAGATGAAGAAAAGTGGCATCCGTTTCTGTCTACATAACCTCTCATGTGCCCTTGGAGACATGCTCTGGCCCACAGCTTTCTCTGGATCAGGAAAGACAATGGCCACTTTACCCAAGGTCCGTACTTCACATTGTCTTCTTGGTGATCTCTAGTAAGCTCTGTTCCAGCCCTTGCTTTCTTAGATGGTGGGGCCTTAGGATGAGACAGAAGACTAGTAAGAATAGCAAGTACTGAATC